GGGATCCAGGGATCAAACTTAGGCATGTATGGAAAGTATCTTTACTTACTGAGCCATCCTGTGGGCCTTCAGCTGAGCTACACAGCTCCCTCTGTGCTTTCTTCATGTCCCTACCAACTCACTGAACATGAAAACCAGTTAGCCTGGGCTTCCCCTGAAACAGACAGTCATGTATAGAAAGATGGACATTGACTGCCTTACCTTGTAGAATTTTTAGCTACACTGTTAACAAAAAAGAAGGAGATTTGGGGTTTGGGAGTAGCCTTTCTGAGACATCATTGTTGCTGTGTATATTCTGCTGCCCCCTACCCCGCCTTGACTGTAGGAAAAGTGTGTCAGTAAAATCTGAGTAATGTTTGGGAGCAGGAAACAGATCACTACTTCTAATTTCCAACTTAAGACCATTCTTTCGGCTGACTTTAAATCTCCTGTTTGGTTTTCTAGAGGTCTAGAGATTATTAAGACTAATCTTTAGAGAATAGAGATTATAATATTCAAGCTCTGAAATGAACATTTTTATCTTTTCAGACTCCCAAAAAGAGTAACCAAAAATCTCCAAGCTTTCCTAAGACTACACCAAGAAAGTTCCCTCATACGGCACAGACTTCACTACGCACTCCAGAAAGACTACAAAACTCCCCTACAGAAATACCTCCGGCTGAGCGAGCCATTTCTGAGGCATCCTTAACAGACTCCCCACGCGGTTATAGCTCACCATTGGCATCAAAAGTCACTCCCCAAAAGAGAGCCTCCCCCGCAGCAGAAGAAACGTCTCCTCTCCTCATAGAGCTGCCCAGAACACCCAGTGGGGAAGGTGTCCAACCTCCTCGATGCTTGTCGGACTGTGCATGGCTACACTCAATGAATTCCAGTCCAAAGGACCTTTATTGTCCAGCATCCCCACCTCCCTTGACTGTCCAGTCCCAGAGTCAGTGTCTAAGCCCTGTAAGATATTCTTTCAGAACACCTCCACGTACAGCCCTCGCTGGCACACCTGAGCATCAGAGGCACCAACAGCTCCCTCTCCCCAGGACCTCTCAGGTACAGGAACCTGTACAGAAACTACAGGAGAAAGCCCTCAAAATCCCAAAGAAGCCAGCAGACTCCATTCATTCTTCCCCACCTCTTTCTCCAAAGGAACACTTTACTTCCGGATATGATGGCTCCCAGCTTAGGAAACCCTTGTCAGCCTCTCCTCCTACATCACCCAGCACAGCTCCATCTGTCTATTACTCTGTTCCTTCAACTCCTCCCAGAACCCCACAGAGAATGACCTCCCACCACATTCCCCCTTCTCCGCCATCAAAGCTTAGGAGACAATGGAGAAAGACCTCCAGTCCTCAGGACTTCCCAGAGTGCCAGCCTGGACCCTCTGCTGCTCCAGTGCTTGAGGCAGCTGCCAGCCCAGGGGCCATTGCAGGCTCTAGAGGACAGCAATCTCAATCTTCTGAAGGACAGAGCTGCCCGGGCACTGGTTTCAGGAATGTCTGGCAGGTATCCTCTCCTGTGCTCATTGCAGATGACACAGAGCACCATCCTCTGATTGAAGCCCAACTCCATAGCTTTGAGAGCCATGAGGTAAAAGGTGGCATCTTACCAGGGGAAGAAGGTGAGGGGCCGAAGAGCACACTTGCTGATGAGCCTCCCTCTGTGTCTGACCCTGGGATTCTTCCACCTGTCCCTTCCTCTGTGTCCAGCTCCCCTGAGCTGCTGGCCTACACCTGCATGGCAGACAGAAGGCAGAGCAAGACTGCTGCCCAGCAGGGGAGCCCACACACTTTGGAGGACACTGGCAGCCCTCAGACCTATGAGGTTGAGCTGGAGATGCAAACATCTGGCCTTCCCAAGCTCCGAATTAAAAAACTAGACCCTGGAGCTCTTCTGGAAGCAGAGGCTCCAGGAAAGGAAAGCCCTCTGGGAGAGGAGGGTTCCCTCCCTGCTCTCAGCATGCCCAAGGCCAGCAAGTCCTCCAGTACCTATTTGTCACCCCCTTGCCTCCGCCCCTCACACAGCACACCTGGCAAGAATGGGGGGCAGACCTTCATCTGCCAGTCTTGTACTCCCTCGCGTTGCCCGCCCAGTACCCCCTCTCCATTTCAAGCAGATGTCGGGGTTTCTTGGACACCATCCCCCAAGCAAAGTGGGAAGACCACTCCTGAAATTATCAAAGACTGGCCCCGAAGGAAGAGGGCGGTGGACTGCAGTGCTGGTCCCTGTGCTGGGAGAGGCGAGGCTAGTGCGGACTTCCTTGGGGCTGAGGGAAAGGAGCGAAGCCTTGAAGGTGACCTCCCTAAGGCTCTTGTCTTGGAGGATTTTGAACTAGAGGGGGTGTGTCAGTTGCCAGACCAGTCACCTCCCAAAGACAGTGAGTCTAAGGCTGAAGAAGCCTTCTCCTGGGGACAGTTTGGGCTAGGCTCCAGAAAGAGACACCAGTCTGCCCAGGAAGAAGCTGAATACGACGTCAAAAGGGTCTGTGATTCCGTGAGTGAAGACCCCCAAGCTAGCCAGCACAGAGAGTGGTCTCCACACTGGAGTGCACCACCACTCTGCTCTGTAGGGGAAGACGAGGTGTTTGTTTCTGGTGAGTGTAGTTTTCAAACCAACATGTATGTTTTCTCTTGGGCAGGGTGGTGAGGAGGTGTTTGGAGCTGTGGATCACCTGGAGTCTTGTGGGCCTACACTTAACCTTGTGGCCTCTCCTTAGGCTCCACCCCACCCTCTGGCTGCATGGTACGGAGCAGCCTCTCTGCCAGTAGTCTGCAGGCCCTGACTCAGTCTCCGCTGCTGTTCCAGGGAAGAACACCATCCTCTCACAGCAAGGACACCAGAGGTAACCTGCTGTTAAAGGTCCCAGTGCTTACCAGGGCAGGGCTTTCCTGCGAGTGACGTGCAGGATTCTTGAGAGTGCAGAGTGTGGGAAGGTGGTTTTGACCCTGCAGTGTCGTGTGCCTTTCCCAGAGACTTCATGATAGAACTTGGGGCACCTGAAGAGAAACCTGCAAAATTTTACCAAACTAATTCAGATGCTGGGAGTGGTGCTGGTCTGTAGTCTTGGGCTCTGACTAGTGAAACGGCTTGGGCAACACAAGTGACAGTGATCAGCCACTTTCTCCCAGTAGGTTTATGTCCACATTTCCTTCACATTCCTTCCCATTCATCACTAGTAAGTTCTGTCGTCCTCTGCCATCGGACCCTAGGTTTCCTGCCTTCTGACCCTTATGTAAAAGCACAAGATCCAGCTACTCAAGACACTGGTTAGAAACATTTGCAGTGAGGGACTTGGGTAGCTCTCTTCTCACAAAACATTTCAGCCATGCAAAGTAACAAACTCCTCTAATCTGACCTAAAAGAAAGACTTATGTGTGGACACACGTTCGGGCACTTTGCAATTCCAGTGGATTTTTCACCGTCTGCACATATCTCTTAAAACAGTGTAGGTGACTCTCCTGAGTCCACTCTTGTAAGACCCTCTGTGGTTAGAGCATGCTGTCTTTTATTCAGGCCTCATTGATCTCTGCTTTTCCCTAGATGAGGATGTGGATGTGTTCTCTTCTACTACCGAAGTGTCTCCTTTCAGCCAAGCCTTCTCCCGGAGACGGCCTTTCAGAACCTACACAAGGAAGAAGCTCATTAGCTAGCCCTGGTAGAACCCAGCTGGAGGACTCAGAATGAGGAGCACAGAGCCTGGCCAGATCCCTCGCATTCCTGGAGCGGTACTCCAGAGGGGCTTTCTCTGGGTGTGGAAACAATGCCAAGCCCATACCACCGGTCCCAGCAATGTGCCCAGAACAGGAGTGGCCAGAACTTAATGGGACTGAGAAAGTTCACAAGCAGCTAGGTCCCCCTTGGAATTACATAAATTGGGGGCTTTGCAGGGTGTGGTACTAGGCCTATCATCCCAGCACTTGGGAGATGGGGGCAGAAAGCTCAGAAGAGTCTGACTGCTCAGCAAGTACAAGGACAGCCTGTGCTATATGAGACCCTGTCCCAAAAACAAACAGCAAAAAGACATCAAGGACCTTGGCTTTTCCCCAGTCATTGTTGAGCTTACCACTGGAGTGCCTCGTGGTCTTCATCTGAGGCCAGGCCCTGGCCTTTTTAGGGAAGGTTAGGAATCTGGTGGGCAGCCTGGGAATCTAGACACTAAGCAAGGTCCCACTCCAGTGCTTCCATGCCATGTCCTCGGTGAGTCAGAGGACCATTGCCACACTGAAATGGAGAAAAGAACCCTGGATATAGTCCCTTGAGGTACTTGCCATAAGGCTTGAGTTCCCTGACACAAGTGGTACTTCATAAACTAAGACCTGTATGTAAGTAAAAGACTACAGTGAGAAGCTAGGTCACAGTAAACTTCTCCTGGCTACTGAGCATTCAGTGTTTTTGCCTGGGAGTAATTGCAACCATGGTCCAGAGTGATCATACTGTAGGTCTGCCCGGAGAGCCAGCGACATCATGGCAGGGGTCTTAGCTAGGTATGTGCTTGGCATCTGGGTTGACCTGTAATCAACTGAGCCACCTGCTGTGGAGTCTTGGCAGGAGCCTCATCTGCAGTGAGGGCTGCTTTGGTACCTTCTCAGTCTTCCCAGAACCCTATTGTGACTTCCTATAGTCAGATTCTAAGTGAAAACTTCCATTTCTCCTTTCAGAGATGTTCACTTTGTGTGGTTGAGATAAACAACTAAAAATGAAGAAAAGGCAGACCTGGAGTGTCTGCCTGGGTTCAGTTCCCAATACTGCTGATAAAGAAAGGGCTTCAAGCTTTCCGAGGTCAAAGTTTATGGCTATTTGTCCACCTGTGCACTGGCAGGGAGGCAGCCAGGAAGTAGAGAGGAGGGGCAGGACTCCAGTATCCTCTTGAAGGATGCTCTCCAATAACCTAACTTCACTAGACCCCAGCTCCAATGGGCTCCACTGCCTCGCTGAAGACCAGCCTTCAGCACTGCCTCGCTGAGGATCAGCCTTCGGGAGTCTTGTGGACACATTTAAGATGTAAACTGTGATGAGATTATTTCTGTTTATTATTAAATGATATTTTAAAAAATTCTAAAAATGGTAATAACTTTCCTAGTTCCCCACCTACACAAGACCATCGAAGCTTTAGCCCTGCTGTCACTGACCATTCTGTGACAAGCCTTGGATGACCTCCAGCTGTGTCCCACAGATGGAAGGTAGCTGTCAGCTACTACAGCTTAAAGGGGTAGTAGGAGTTCACATGTGTTTCAAAAAAAAAGACTTCCTGGATTTGATCCCCAGTACCACAGTGGGACAAAGTCCGGTTCTTTTGGGCTACAGCCCGAATTTGCTGACTCCAATCAGTGTAAAGATGAGAAAGGGTTTACAGGGTGAGGCTGTTCTTCACAGAAGCCAACAGGCAGCCTCTCAGCAGGACTGCATTCGGAGGCAGGACCTGACCAAGGCCTACAGGGGGTTTTTCCTGACATCGATCATCCATGGGCTGGTTCTTCGGGGTTCCCACCGGGGCTTAGGCAAGGGTCCAAAGTTCCAGGAGAGGCCTGCTTCACCCATGGATAGCACCCGCCCTCCTGGGGGTTCAGTTGTTTCACGGGCCCTCAGCTCCTCAGAGGAGCCCTGCTCGCTGCACAAGCTTGAGCGTTTCCACGTCAGGGGTAGTGGAGCATGGACCAAGTCCCTGCTCTCATCCCAGGCACGGGGCGCCCCCTCCAGAAGGGAGGACTGCCAGAGAGCTTCAGGAGCTGCTGGGTGGAGCCCATCTTCATTTCCAAGGCCTTGTCTGTTTTCCAGGCAGAGGCTTCTCCTCTCCCCACCTGTCAGAACAGCATCTTTGTCAGACATAGATGTCCCCAAACCCAGTGGGGCAGACTCAAACCGGGCAGCACCAGTGTTTACCTCGGCTCTGGCCTGCCGTGTTCCCTGCCCCAAGCTTCTGTTTCAGCTCCTGGTTTATCCACATGTGTCGGCTCAGTTCCTTCTCCAGAGCTTGAATCCGGGCCTCATACTGCCTCTTGCTGTCTGCTAAGCCCTCACCAAGGTGCTCTGGTGTGGAGAGACAGGATTAGGGAGTGAGGGCTGTGGGCAGGGCACCTTGGCCTAGAGGCAGCCAGGGCTGTGGGCAGAGCGCCGGCACTTCCCTGCCCTCACCTCGGCCCTGCTGGAGGAGCAGCTGCACATTCTGCTCGTGCTCCTTCTGCTGCAGGGTCAGCTGGCGGTCCATCTCCAGGCGCTGCCGCTCCAGCGCCACCTCCAGCCAGTACACCAGCCGCTGCTGCTCCTCCAGCTGCATCTCCAGCTCCGAGAAGGCAATCTGTTGCTGGTGCTGCTCCTCTCGGAGTGTCACCACCTGTCCCAAGACCAGCCAGGCTCAGCCACTACACCATTGTCTTTCCCCAAGTGATCCTTAGCCGGTTGGTAAATGTGGTCCCCAGGAAATCACCGGGTCTTTCCTGCCTCTCACACAGTGCTATAGACAGTGAACTCGCAACACTCAGAGCTGGCTCTCCAGGTGGAACTTACCACAAACCTTTCCCCACCACAGAGTGCTGAGCTACTACACAGTGGAACTGTGGGACTGCACCCAGACCAGGATTTCTCAACCAAAGAATAAGGCATTTGGGGCTGAGTGATTCCTGGGCATGAGGACTGTCTATTATGCAATATTTAGCAACATCTTGGGCCTCCCTCACCTCCCAAATATCAACCAAAAGAACCTCAAGACATATCCCTGGGCGGGGCGCGCCCCCCCCGGGCGGCAACCAGCCTCTCTTGAAATCCCATGAATGTGGGCCAGGGCCTTCAGACCAGAAGGGAGAGAAGACTGAGTCTTAGCTTCACTAAGATAACTTCAAAGAGACTGGGAAGTAAAGGAGACCCTGCCCTTGACTCTTCATCTGGGAGGAAGGGACAAACTTTTTGGGAGTTGTCAGCAGAGCCTCCAGCAGCAAGCTAAAGGAAGGGTTTGTGTTGGTAATCCACCTTATCAAAATACTTGCAGAGCAGGGCTCTGGTCTCCGAGGAGGAGAGGTAGCTGAGCTTGGCCATGAGATTCATCTCACACTGCGACAGCAAGGAGGCCGAAGCCCGCAGCACCCGCTGCCGGCATGTGATGGCCTCATTCTTGTACTCAATGGCGGCGTCCAGGGCCTCGATGGCTTCATCCAGCTGGAACAGTGTTCTCTCCTCCTGAAGAAACAGGTGCATGCATGGAAGAGGGGTACCAACCTTATCAAGAGTCCTGGGCAGATATAAAACAGCCAACGCACAGACACGGCGGAGCCTTCCATGTCTCCTCGACCTAAGAATGTCTTGAACATAGCAGAAATGCCCCTCACTGCAACACCAACAGGGTCTGCCTGACACAGCGTGACAGACACAATGCTGTGTGGCTGGGTTCTCAAGGGAAGCTACCTCTTACTCCCTTCGGGAGAAGCTCGGGGAGCTCCAGAAAGCGGAGCTGCTGGGACTGCCTAAGACCCCAGACAACCGGGAATAAGCTTATGCAGTGCAGGCTTTCACTGTTCGAAGGAAGAGCGTTTTGTATACAGCACAGCACAGTTGTCTAGTTCCGCTGGAAGGGAGCTGAGAAGTCCATAGGGTCCCGCATCTGTCAAGGGGGCCCAAGGGACGATCTCACTCCACCTGATGAGGCTTAGCACACACTAGGGCACGTGTGTCCTAAAGCAGCAGGGCCAGCACTGACAGAGCCAGGGGAGGAGGTAGAGGGTGGCAGAAGGACAGGTGGACAAGGGATGGGTCAGAGAGCTGAAGCAAAGGGACAGCGCTGGGTGGCCGCACAGTGGCCATACCTCGGGTGACAGCAGGCTTCCTTGCCTCAGCTTGCTGTCAATCTCTAGCCGTTGCTTCAGTAGCGAGTCCTTCTCCTGGCGCAGGGTGTCTATCTCCCCTCGGATCTGCTGCTGGTTCTGGGCGCTGCCTTGCCGCAGCTGCCCGCTCTTCTCAGATAGCTCCTTCTCCAGGTGTTCCAGACGGCTGGACACGCGCACGATGTCCTCGTTTAGGGCCTGAGGCAGCACCACCAGTGATCAGAGAAGGAGAAGGCACTGTCCTCACAGAGGGCACAGAAAGGGCCCGGCTGGCTCACTAGATGCTAAGGAGGATGTGGGTCCTTCCCTGGCCTACCTGTAACCCCGATGCTTGCTTAGGGAGCAGGGCCCTTCAGAGGACCAGGTCATCTGTGGAGGGGATGGCCCAGAGGATTGTCCAAACGGAGAGAAAAGACTCTAATATCAAGAAGCTGCTGTGCGGGAGGCTATCAGTGAGGAGACTTGGCTGGAGAGTATGGGACTATGGGAAATTGACCCTTCCTGGGGACTCATGTGGGAGGAAGCAAGGGGAACTGTGTCCAAGGGATGTTAGGGATCACCTAATGACCCCTAGGCCTCTCAGATCTCTTGTGTTCCATGATGGCAGTGAAAGGAACCCTAGTCTGTCCACAACCCTTCAGGAACCTGGCTTTGACCCAAGCACCTGGATTAGAACAGGCCTGGATTTGGGTGTGACATAGTCCCACTGAATTCTCTTGGCCACACTGTGACCTCTTCTGATAGAAGAACAAGGTGGCTCAGCAGCTGGACTTCCTATTAAAGAGGAGGTAACCATGGCAGACGCAGATGGACCCGCAGCCTGCCTCCCCCAAAGCTGGAATCTACTTGGCCATACCACTTCCTACACCTGTTCCTCATTTTGCCCAGGTGGGTCCCAAAAAAGCTGTTTGCAAAACGCGAAGTAGACTATGGGACGGGTGCTAGTTCCTGCATCATAAACAGCCTAAAGCCTTGGGATTCGTGGGAACCCATAGGATACAGACCAGAGGGCAAAGCTTCCCCTGTCTTACCATCAAGACCATCGCTCTGAAGAACCTCACCTACCTGCACACTGTCCTGTAGGGGGGACCTCACCTGGCCAGGAGGAGGGGGGATGGAGGATGGAGGAGGTTGGGAGTGGGGGCCTCACCTGGCTGGACCTCAGGCGCTTGCTCTCTAAGCCGGTCTTCTCCTGTATCAGGGCCTCCTTCTTTGCCAGGATGACCTCCCGCTTGTGGAGCTCTTGCCCTAACTCCTCCAGCGCCCGCCGCTGCTGCAGCACCTTTTCCATCTCCTGGTCCAGCCACTTCTTCTGCTCCTCGATCTTCTGAGGGACCGTGGGGGAGGCGGGGATCTCAATACCCGCCTCTTGCTGGAGCCACTACCCAAAGTCCCACGGAGAGAGCAGCGGGTCCCACAACAAATCCCCAGTGGACAGTGGCAACGAGCAGGCTCCCCGCCAATCACACGGGGACACGGGCTCAGCCCAGCCGCACCTGCTGCTGCTCCAGGCTGACCACGGAGCCATTGCTACCACTGCGCCTCTTCCTCTGGAAGGCTGCAATTTCTTCCGTCTTGATTTTCAGGATCTTTTGCTGTTGTTCATGCTTCAGCTCCAGTTCCTGGGGGGAGGAAGCCCGGTGAGGAGAGGAAGAAGCGCGGTGTAGCTGTGAGTAGCGGGAACCAGACAGACCCCTCACCCACCCGGCCAGCCAGAGCCTGACCTTGACTCGATGCTGCCGCTTGTTCATCTCTGTCTCCAAGCGCCGCTTCTGCTCGGTCTCCTCCCGGAGCCGCCTCTGAAGCTGCCCCTGCTGTCGCCGCATGAGCTGCACGTTCCTCTCCAGCTCCTGGAGCCGGGCCTCGCTTTGAGCCGAGAGTGACACCAGCCGCTCGGTTGCCTGCTTCTTCTCCTTCAGAACCTGGGACCCACACAGCAGCCACGGGACTTGGCACAGGGCTCATAAGGAGCCTGGCATAGTGTTTGGCACTTAGCAAGGGTGGGCAGGGCCAACAGGTGGGTGAACAGGAGGACACGAGGAAAGAGGGAAAGATAGGTGGACGGGAGACTAATGGCAACAGAATACTAATAACATAGCTACAGATAACTTCTACTGTTCTTTGGGTGAATTGTGCTAGGTGCTCTGTACACAGTAACTGATCTAACAGACTTATGACAAAGTCTGCCTGCTGGGCTGGCGAAACAGTTCAGTGGGTAAGGATGCTTGCTGTCAAGCCTGGTGACTGACTTGAATTTGATCCCTGGGACCCACACAGTGGAAGGAGAAAGCCAACTCCTAAAAGGTGTTCTCTGAACTACACACACACACACACACACACACACACACACACTGTGGTACCCTTACACATACACACAAAAATAAAGAAAGAAAATTGGTATGACCATTATCCCCACTTTATAGATTAGGAAACAGGCACACAGAGAGAGGTTAGGGGAGTTGATCAAGAACCTACACCCAGGGCTGGAGAAATGGCTCAATGGTTAAGAGCACTGACTGCTCTTCCAGAGGACCCGGGTTCAATTTCCAGTACCCACATGGCAGCTCACAACTGTCTGAAAATCCAGTTCCAGGGGATCTGACACCTTCACACCAATGAACATAAAATAAAAAGATAAATAAATCATAAAAAAAGAACCTACACCCAGGGACTGGAGAGATTCAGTGGTTTAAGAGCATTTGCTGGAACCCTGGGTTGGGTTCCCAGCACCTCCATGGGCTCACAATGATCAAGAACTCCACTTCCAGAGGATCTGATGCCCTCTTCTGGCTTCTACAGGTACAAGCACACATGCGTTACACATACATTCACTCAGGCAAAACACTCATACACATAAAAATAAGTAAGTCTTTGATTCCAGCACTTAGGAAGCAGAGGCAGATCTCTGTGAGTTGGAGGCCAGCCTGATCTATAAATTGAATTCCAGGACAGGCGGGGTAACACAAAGAAACACTGTCTCGAAAAACAAACAAACAAAAAGACAGAGGCAGGGCTGGAGAGATGGCTCAGTGGTTAAGAGCATTGCCTGCTCTTCCAAAGGTCCTGAGTTCAATTCCCGGCAACCACATGGTGGCTCACAACCACCTGTAATGAGGTCTGGTGCCCTCTTCTGGCCTGCAGACATACACACAGACAGAATATTGTATACATAATAAATAAATAAATAAATATTAAAAAAAAAAAAAGACAGAGGCAGCTTTTAAAGCCAGGCAGGTTCCAGAGCCCATATTCTCAGCCATTCTACCAGATCACCTCTTGGCTGGAACTGAGAAAAGAAGGAAAGAGGGAAGTAGAGGGAAGGGTAGATAGGTGGGTAGAGAGGGCAGGGCAGCGGACCGAGCTGTCTTCCCCACACTCTGAATGGGATGTTATTCAGAGATGGAGCGGCCTTTCAAGAAGCCGTTAAGTGTAAGTGGAGGCCCGAGGGTGACCCTAACCTAGCATCCAGGCATCCTATGTAAGGGAGAAACACCAGGGGCACAGGAAGGCAGACACATAGACAGAGAGGACTGCCATCCACAAGCCTCAGGAGGCCTCAGGACAGGCCAGACCTGTGAAGACCTTGAACTTGGATGTCCAGCCTCTAGTGTGAGAGTTCACTCTCGCAGCACTAGCGAATGAATAAAAACTGCCCGAGCTGCTCAAGGGGATGATGTAAAAGATGGGAGCACACAGCTCCGTGAGCAATCGTCCGGCAGAAGGCTAAACCAGGCCTTGGGGACAGCGCTTGGTCTGGGCAATCTTCTGTAATACTCAAGGCCTTAGGTTTCCTTCCCAGAAAAAAAGCAAGCGAGCTAAATTAATGAAGGGTCAGGTGGACATACATACTGACAAACAGGAAAGACGGGACTGAAGAGCAAGCTGGGATGCATGCATGGACAGCGTTGTGGGCTGAAGGACATTCTCTTTAGACGACCGCCCTTCCTTGGTTGGTATGCAGCACCCACCTCTCTATTCCTGTCATGTGGAAAGCTAAGCTCATTACACCTTACCTGTGGCACCAGCCTAGGGGCCAGGAGGAGTAACTGCCACCAGCTAGGGCTGATGGCAAGGATCTGAGTACATCCAGATTCCAGGCCCACAAGCCTGTTCCCAGAGACCCCCCCCTCCTCCGCTGGGGAACCCCAACACTGACCTGCACCTGGCTTTGGGCTGCAGCCACTTTCTTGCGGAATTCCTGAAGCCTAGACCGCTCGCTGGCATCCTGGGGTTCCCTGCCCTCCAGCTCACGAAGCTGCCTCTGCCCTTCGTACAACTCCGCCCGGACACGCTCAGCCTCCTGCTCCAGCTCCCGGATGCGCTGGCTGTGCTGGCGGTTCAGGGCCTGGGCTGCCTTCCCTGGAAGAGAGCGGGTCCACAGTGGCACAGGCAGACCCCTTTCCAGACGGTGGCACAGGCAGATCCCTTTCCAGACGGTGGCACAGGCAGACCCCTTTCCAGACGGTGGCACAGGCAGACCCCTTTCCAGACGGTGGCACAGGCAGACCCCTTTCCAGAGCATTGTTTCCTGGGCTGGAACACTACATGGATTTCTTCAAGCCCTCTAATCCACTCACTAAATCATACACCCCCCCCACACAAACCCTGCTTCTAGTCCTGGCTGACCAAAACTGATGTTCACCAGGTTGGCCATGAACTCAGAACTCATGAACTCCACCTGTTTCTGCCTCCAGAGTGCTGGAATTAAATACACGCACCACCCCTTCCGGCCCCCTACTCAATTTTTAAATGAGTTTTGCTCACAGAAGTGACCCAAATTAGCAAGTTTTATCTTTATCTAATGCCTGACAAAAATCAATATAGACCCTGACCCTGCATATATCTCGAGCATCAATCTGCAAGAAATACGAAGGACAGAGGAAAAACACCCCTGCTGGGAGTTAACAGACACACTCTGGCAGGATGACTCAGAGCTGAGAGAAGAGAGACCTCAGGCACCCATGAAGCCAGCAGAGACTGCCCAGGGCCCAGGTATGGGAGGCCGACTCAAGCCAATGAGGCTGAAGAACACCGCTGGGTCACCAGGGGACAAGGCCTGGGTACTAAGGGAACAGGAGTTTCTAACGTGGAGGAGAGCCTGCAGCTTCACTGCGCAAAATACACAAGCTAGCCTGTAATCCCAGCGCTTGGGAAGTGGAGGCAGGATCAAGAGTTTGAGGCCAGCGCTGGCTACACAGAAACTTTCAGGCCAGCCTGGGCTACATAAAACCATCTCAGAACAAACAAAATCAAGAAAAGGCGAGAAAACAACAGGGGCATGGCATGGCGGTTAGTCAGGAAAAGGTCCACTTTTTTTTTTGTTTGGTTGTTGTTGCTGTTGTTGTTGTGTGTGTGAGGCCACTGTAGGTAGAAAAGTAAAAGGGTACAGTAGCTGGAATTTGTTTCAAAATCTTTCAGCAAAGAAATGGGTCCAGAGCTCAGGTGGGGGTAGGGGGGAAGGACCCTCGGTGACTGCTAATTCTGGATGAAGACCTGTGTACTGTTCTTTCTTCTTCACCATCTATTTGAAAGTTTGAAAAGGGAATTTCTAATAAATTCACAACTATTAAAGACATTCAGACCTGGGCAGTGGTGACGCACACCTTTAATAAAGATGTCTACCACCAAGCATAATTACCGAAGTTTGATCCCTAGACCACACGGCAGAAGGAGAAAACTACCCCTGTAAGTTACCCTCTGACCTTGACAGGGGCACTGTGGCACATGGACACACACACACACACACACACACACACACACACACACACGGCAGGGGGGATAGAGAATAAATAAAAATGTTTTAAATTTTTTTTTGAAAACCTATCAAATGGCCACCACTTAAAATTATTCCCCATTCCTCAGCTCATCACCAGTATCAGATGTGGCACATCTGGAGGTAGTGGGTTCTCATTTATACTGTGTGACGAGGACCGAGAGTTACTGGTCTCGGCACCTCCAACACAGCAGGTCAGGAAGTAAGGGGCTCTGTTTACTGAGGGTTATTCAAGACATGCCACCAGAATGATGTCATTTCACCATCACAGCCATCCTAAGAAATAGGTTCAGGCCTCACTCCCTTCAGACAGGAGGAAGCAGAGGGGTTATGATACCTGCTGAAGGCCACACAGCTAGAGGAGGCTGAGCTAGGTCTCAGACCTAGGCCCTGTGGCCTGTGCTGCTAAGCGGGACGCTGCCAAACCCTCCCCCAAAGCAGCCATAGGAAGAATGCTGGGCAAATGGGGACCATCCCAAGGAGGAACCACTCCAATGCCACCACTCACCTGTGCGGACCAGCTCACCAATGAGCTCCTCCTTCATCCGGATATTGATGGCCAGTTCCCGGATCTTCTGCTGGGCCTGGGCCAGTCGCCACTCCGAGGCCATGGCAGCTGAAGCCTGGCGGGGCTGGACCGGGACCTTGCTGCCACCAACTGCTACGACATGCAGACTGTTAGGGTCAGCACCCTGACTAAGAGTGGAGGAGGCAGAAGGGTGGCATGGAGGGGCTCCTGGGTGAGTAGAGACAGGGAGAGGACCCTCTCCGTTCTCCATCCAGCTTACCATGGGGAGCAGGGTTGGCAGGAGCTGACTCTTCTAGGCAGACCTCTGGGCCCTTCCTGTCAGGTGGGCTCCCGGGCCGGACCCCTGGCCTCTGGCTCCAGTTGCTGATCCCATTTCTGCAAGGCAGAAGCAGAAGTCAGTACCATTCCCCAGCTCCTAACCCAGCCTAGCTACTACCTCTTAGGCCTGGGGAGGGAAAGAAGAGAGACCTCGGGACCCTCCAACCCTCAGGATCAGGATGAGGCAGAAGCCAGAAGTCAGGAGCAGAGCTTAGAAGATGCCAAGAAGCTGCAGGTACCAAGGATCACCTTGGAAACTGAGCAGCAGGAGGCCTGGGCACTTCCTCTCACAGGCACCCCAGTGAAGCCTTCCCAACCAGAGCTCACAGTCCCCCAAGAGCTGGTGAACATGAGACAGTCAAGCGCCTGTCACATGAGAGGCCTTCACACCACCGCTGGGAGAAAGACCAGGAGTCTCCCACAGCCTAGCACAGCCCCGAGCTGATCCTGCGCGTCCACACACTAGGTCTCCCTCACCTGCGAAGGTGTAAGGTTCGCCTGGGTGGCTCCTCTTCTTCCTCCTCCTCCCCTTCCTCCTCACTGGAAGAGCTACCTCCCAGCTTGTCCACTTGGGCCAGCACCTCCGCCTTAACCTCCCCGCTGTTTGTCACCTGCTAGGGGAACATTAGGGACTCAGGATGAGAATATTTGCGGGGCATCCTCCTAGCCATTTCCCTCCCAAGGCTGTTGCTGGGGTGTGCCCAGCCATGCACACCCTCCTCTCCTCAACTTCCTCTGCCCTGACTTCACCCTCCAGACCTGTCAAGGGACACACTGGGAAGTAGTCTCGTCCTCGAGGAAGGATGTGATCCCCCCCAGCATCTGGGTCTCCTCGGGTGACAACCTGCCCTTTCTAGTAGGCAGCTCATGTGAACCTAAGCCCTTTCTCACCATTTGACGCCCCGCCAGAATGACGGGTACCTGACGTACTCCCACCCAACCCGAGCCCTCTACCACTGCAGAGCTGAGATGAGCTGGAGTTCTGAAGAGCACAGGATTCAATCGACTTTATCCAAAAGACCCCAAGCTGCAGAACCTACGGGCAGGGGACCAAGCCTTGGGGAGACAGAGCAGAGCTACGGAGGAGTGAGCCTGCAAAGTGCCACCCGCAGACGTTAAGAGTTCCATCCTCAGGCGTACAAGGTGTCACCTTACGTCACCAATCTTCTCCCTCCGGTGGTCTCAAGATGCTCACTGGCCCTGTCCACTTTTGAGAGGCCCCACAGTCTCTCGTATTCTGGCCCTTTCTCTAGGGACACTTAAAATAGGAATTTTATAACTCACAGCTGGTCCCATGGAGACATGAACAAGGGACACAAGCTCTAATGCTGCCCTGACCCTGCTCCAATCCTTACCAGCTCCTCACCTGCTCAGAGCTAACTTCTCCAGGAAGGCAAGTGGGGGACACCATGCCCAGCATGTTAGCGTGAATACCCCCCAGGGGGGCTGTGTGAGGCCGAGGCACAAAGGACCCGGGAGGCAAGCCCTGCAGGAGCCCTGGTGCTCCCCAGCCAGGCCGTGCCAGCTCCAGCCGGAGCCGCAGTTCCACCATCTCCTCCTGCTGCTCTTGCAGGCGGTCACTCTGCAAGACACAGTCGGGGAACTGATGCGGACATGGGTGCCAAGGGATGTTTGCTGACTAGCGTAAGTAACAAGAAACTGACAAGCCGATCAGAACATCTCACCTTCTGGGATGAAACTGAGCGGTCTGAGTACCACTGACCCCATCTGGATCCCATTCTGTCTGAATAACATACTACACTGGTTGGTTGACTCAAGCTCCCATGTCCAATGCTCATCACATTCCCACCACGCCTGCATGCCTTCCCCGCCCCAGACCGGAGAATCCGCATAATGCTGACCTGATCAGCAGACTCCCAGATAGCATCCTGCTGCCCTCATGCAAGGGCCAAGATGCCAGGCATGCTGTCAGCGCACTCCCTTCTCTGTTCTGCCTTCATCCCCATGTTTCTCTCCATGCCAAGCACCTCCCGTCTCTACATATCCCTTCACCAGCATCCCCTGTCCCAGTTCCCCATTTAAACAAACTCCCTTCCACTCTGGGAAACCCTCCCTCCTCCAGGAAGCCTTCCTGGTCTACAGAGGGAGCATCCTACCTGCAGTTTGTACTGCTCCATGGCATCCTCCAAAGCTGCCAGGAAGTCTCGATTCTCCTCCTCCAGCCGGGCCACCTGGCTCTGCAGGCTCAACAGCTGCTGGGCCCCCTCATCTCCCTATGCAGCAAGGGAAAAAGCTTTAGGCTAAGATGGGGGGGGGGGCTGATAAGGCACTGGGACACCCCAACTCTTTCTCTGCCCTGTCCCCAGCTCACCCAGTCCTACTCTCCACTTTATTCTAAGATCTGCCTTGCAACGGGTGCTCCTGGTCCCATCTAGCCTTACATTCTCTCTGCACGCCATTTGAGCCTTCTCCCGCCATTATTAATAAGGCTTTAAATTTTGCTTATCATTAATAGTACTTTAGTTTTGAGCTAGGGTATTGTTATGTAGCCCAGGCTAGCCTGGAATTCGTGATCATTGTGTTTCCTCTTCCACGGGGTTGGAATTAGAGATGTGGTCACTATTCCCACAGATCACGTTTTTATTAATATTATATTATTAAGAACACCTCGGTCTTTACCAGTGTGCTTGGTACCTATCACACATTCCGATCTTATAATATCCTTATTTAACAGATCCAGAAGCTAAACAAAGTTAAGGAACTGACAGTGAACCCCGAATATACTGTTAACAGGCACGACTGCCCGACAAAGACCCTCTTTCCTTGAGCCCAACCCAGGGCCACCTTTCTCCCGCTGTTCCCCTGCGCGGTCTGGTCCTCGGCTGGAGCGCTCTCGATGCCGCTGTCGGGCCCAGAGGCAGAGCTCAGGGCGCTGCGCTCGCCTTCCACAGCGCACAGCCAGTCCCGCACCTTGCGGGCAGCA